TGGGTCTCTGTGTGTCTCTATGTATCTCTATGGGTCTCTGTGGGTCTCTATGTATATCTATGGGTCTCTATGGGTCTATGTTGGTCTCTATGTATCTCTATAGGTCTTTGTATCTCTGTGGGTCTCTGTGAGTCTCTATGTATCTCTATGGGTCTCTGTGGGTCTCTATGTATATCTATGGGTCTCTGTGTCTCTGTTGGTCTCTGTGTGTCTCTATGTATCTCTATGGGTCTCTGTGGGTCTCTACGTATATCTATGGGTCTCTGTGTCTCTGTGGGTCTCTGTGTGTATCTATGTATCTCTATGGGTCTCTGTGAGTCTCTATGTATATCTATGGGTCTCTATGGGTCTATGTTGGTCTCTGTGTGTCGCTATGTATCTCTTTGGGTCTCTGTGGGTCTCTATGTATATCTATGGGTCTCTATGGGTCTATGTTGGTCTCTGTGTATCTCTATGTATCTCTATGGGTCTCTGTGGGTCTCTATGTATATCTATGGTTCTGTATGGGTTTATGCTGGTCTCTATGTATCTCTTTAGGTCTCTGTATCTCTGTGGGTCTCTGTGAGTCTCTATGTATCTCTATGGGTCTCTGTGGGTCTCTATGTATATCTATGGTTCTGTATGGGTTTATGCTGGTCTCTATGTATCTCTTTAGGTCTCTGTGTCGCTGTGGGTCTCTGTGAGTCTCTATGTATCTCTATGGGTCTCTGTGGGTCTCTATGTATATCTATGGTTCTGTATGGGTTTATGCTGGTCTCTATGTATCTCTTTAGGTCTCTGTGTCTCTGTGGGTCTCTGTGAGTCTCTATGTATCTCTATGGGTCTCTGTGGGTCTCTATGTATATCTATGGTTCTGTATGGGTTTATGCTGGTCTCTATGTATCTCTTTAGGTCTCTGTGTCTCTGTGGGTCTCTGTGAGTCTCTATGTATCTCTATGGGTCTCTGTGGGTCTCTACGTATATCTATAGGTCTCTGTGTCTCTGTGGGTCTCTGTGTGTCTCTATGTATCTCTATGGGTCTCTGTGGGTATCTACGTATATCTATGGGTCTCTGTGTCTCTGTGGGTCTCTGTGTGTCTCTATGTATCTCTATGGGTCTCTGTGTGTCTCCATGTATCTCTATGGGTCTCTGTGGGTCTCTATGTATATCTATGGGTCTCTGTGTCTCTGTGGGTCTCTGTGTGTCTCTATGTATCTCTATGGGTCTCTGTGAGTCTCTATGTATATCTATGGGTCTCTATGGGTCTATGTTGGTCTCTGTGTGTCGCTATGTATCTCTTTGGGTCTCTGTGGGTCTCTATGTATATCTATGGGTCTCTATGGGTCTATGTTGGTCTCTGTGTGTCTCTATGTATCTCTATGGGTCTCTGTGGGTCTCTATGTATATCTATGGTTCTGTATGGGTTTATGCTGGTCTCTATGTATCTCTTTAGGTCTCTGTATCTCTGTGGGTCTCTGTGAGTCTCTATGTATCTCTATGGGTCTCTGTGGGTCTCTATGTATATCTATGGTTCTGTATGGGTTTATGCTGGTCTCTATGTATCTCTTTAGGTCTCTGTGTCTCTGTGGGTCTCTGTGAGTCTCTATGTATCTCTATGGGTCTCTGTGGGTCTCTATGTATATCTATGGTTCTGTATGGGTTTATGCTGGTCTCTATGTATCTCTTTAGGTCTCTGTGTCTCTGTGGGTCTCTGTGAGTCTCTATGTGTCTCTGTGGGTCTCTGTGAGTCTCTATGTATCTCTATGGGTCTCTGTGGGTCTCTATGTATATTTATGGGTCTCTATGGGTCTCTGTGGGTCTCTATTTATATCTATGAGTCTCTATGGGTCTATGTTGATCTCTATGTATCTCTATAGGTCTCTGTATCTATCTCTGTGGGTCTCTGTGAGTCTCTATGTATCTCTATGGGTCTCTGTGGGTCTCTATGTATATCTATGGGTCTCTGTGTCTCTGTGGGTCTCTATGTGTATCTATGTATCTCTATGGGTCTCTGCGGGTCTCTATGTATATCTATGGGTCTCTGTGTCTCTGTGGGTCTCTGTGTGTCTCTATGTATCTCTATGGGTCTCTGTGGGTCTCTACGTATATCTATGGGTCTCTGTGTCTCTGTGGGTCTCTGTGTGTCTCTATGTATCTCTATGGGTCTCTGTGGGTCTCTATGTCTATCTATGGGTCTCTATGGGTCTATGTTGGTCTCTGTGTGTATCTATGTATCTCTATGGGTCTCTGTGGGTCTCTATGTATATCTATGGGTCTCTGTGTCTCTGTGGGTATCTGTGTGTCTCTATGTATCTCTATGGGTCTCTGTGAGTCTCTATGTATATCTATGGGTCTCTGTGTCTCTGTTAGTCCCTGTGTGTCTCTATGTATATCTATGGGTCTCTATGGGTCTATGTTGGTCTCTGTGTGTCTCTATGTATCTCTATGGGTCTCTGTGGGTCTCTATGTATATCTATGGGTCTCTATGGGTCTATGTTGGTCTCTATGTATCTCTATAGGTCTCTGTATCTCTGTGGGTCTCTGTGAGTCTCTATGTGTCTCTGTGGGTCTCTGTGAGTCTCTATGTATCTCTATGGGTCTCTGTGGGTCTCTATGTATATCTATGGGTCTCTATGGGTCTCTGTGGGTCTCTATGTATATCTATGGGTCTCTATGGGTCTATGTTGATCTCTATGTATATCTATGGGTCTCTGTGTCTCTGTGGGTCTCTGTGTGTCTCTATGTATATCTATGGGTCTCTGTGGGTCTCTATGTATATCTATGGGTCTCTGTGTCTCTTCGGGTCTCTGTGTGTCTCTATGTATCTCTATGGGTCTCTGTGGGTCTATGTTGGTCTCTATGTATCTCTATAGGTCTTTGTATCTCTGTGGGTCTCTGTGAGTCGCTATGTATCTCTATGGGTCTCTGTGGGTCTCTATGTATATCTATGGGTCTCTGTGTCTCTGTGGGTCTCTATGTGTATCTATGTATCTCTATGGGTCTCTGTGGGTCTCTATGTATATCTATGGTTCTCTGTGTCTCTGTTAGTCCCTGTGTGTCTCTATGTATATCTATGGGTCTCTGTGTCTCTGTGGGTCTTTTTGTGTCTCTACGTATCTCTATGGGTCTCTGTGAGTCTCTATGTATCTCTATGGGTCTCTGTGAGTCTCTATGTATATCTATGGGTCTCTGTGTCTCTGTGGGTCTCTATGTATATCTATGGGTCTCTGTGTCTCTGTGGGTCTCTGTGTGTCTCTATGTATCTCTATGGGTCTCTGTGGGTCTCTATGTATATCTATGGGTCTCTGTGTCTCTGTGGGTCTCTGTGTGTCTCTATGTATTTCTATGGGTCTCTGTGGGTCTCTATGTCTATCTATGGGTCTCTATGGGTCTATGTTGGTCTCTGTGTGTCTCTATGTATCTCTATGGGTCTCTGTGAGTCTCTCTGTATATCTATGGGTCTCTGTGTCTCTGTGGGTCTCTGTGTGTCTCTATGTATCTCTATGGGTCTCTGTGGGTCTCTATGTATATCTAAGGGTCTCTGTGTCTCTGTTGGTCTCTGTGTGTCTCTATGTATCTCTATGGGTCTCTGTGAGTCTCTATGTATATCTATGGGTCTCTATGGGTCTATGTTGGTCTCTGTGTGTCTCTATGTATCTCTATGGGTCTCTGTGGGTCTCTATGTATATCTATGGGTCTCTATGGTTCTATGTTGGTCTCTATGTATCTCTATAGGTCTCTGTGTCTCTGTGGGTCTCTGTGAGTCTCTATGTATCTCTATGGGTCTCTGTGGGTCTCTATGTATATCTATGGGTCTCTGTGTCTCTGTGGGTCTCTATGTGTATCTATGTATCTCTATGGGTCTCTGTGGGTCTCTATGCATATCTATGGGTCTCTGTGCTCTGTGGGTCTCTTTGTGTCTCTATGTATCTCTATGGGTCTCTGTGGGTCTCTATGTATATCTATGGGTCTCTATGGGTCTTTGTTGGTCTCTGTGTGTCTCTATGTATCTCTATGGGTCTCTGTGGGTCTCTATGTATATCTATGGGTCTCTATGGGTCTATGTTGGTCTCGGTGTGTCGCTATGTATCTCTTTGGGTCTCTGTGGGTCTCTATGTATATCTATGGGTCTCGATGGGTCTATGTTGGTCTCTGTGTGTCTCTATGTATCTCTATGGGTCTCTGTGGAGCTCTATGTATATCTATGGTTCTCTATGGGTTTATGCTGGTCTCTATGTATCTCTATAGGTCTCTGTATCTCTGTGGGTCTCTGTGAGTCTCTATGTATCTCTATGGGTCTCTGTGGAGCTCTATGTATATCTATGGTTCTCTATGGGTTTATGCTGGTCTCTATGTATCTCTATAGGTCTCTGTATCTCTGTGGGTCTCTGTGAGTCTCTATGTATCTCTATGGGTCTCTGTGGAGCTCTATGTATATCTATGGTTCTCTATGGGTTTATGCTGGTCTCTATCTCTATATGTCTCTGTATCTCTGTGGGTCTCTGTGAGTCTCTATGTATCTCTATGGGTCTGTGTGGGTCTCTATATATCTCGGTGGGTCTCTCTGTGTCTCTATGGGCCTCTGTGTGTCTCTGTGTACCTCTATGGGCCTCTGTGAGTCTCTACTCGACATCTGTGGCAAAAGCGCTTTTTAGCTCTTCGGATTCCGCCTGTGGTTTTGATACGGATTCGTATTCTGTGGTGAGGGGCGGGGCTATAACGAGGGGGCGTGCCTTGAAAAATGAGGGGGGCGGAGCTCCCTGTTTGAGCGACGGAGCTAACGGAGCGCGGGGCGGGGGCTAGAGGGAGGGGGCGGGGCTTGCTGAGTGAAGAGGCGGGGTTAGGACTGAGGGGGAGGGGTTCGCTGTTTTGAAGGGCGACTAGAGTGAGAGGGCGGGGCTACACCGAGGTGGTTGGAGCTTGGTTGAGAAGGGGCGGGGCTATAATGAGTTGGGGGCGGAGTTCGAGTGAAAAGGCGGGGTTAGAATGAGGGAGGGCGGGGTTAAAATGAGGGAGGGCGGGGCTCATGGGGTGAGGGGCGGGGCCTAAGGGGGGGAGACCTCGCAGTCAAAGATGGCGCCCGTGGTGACGGGGTGAGTTGCTCAGTTTTGTTGTCTTCTTGTTGTTGTTGTTGTCTCTTGTGGTGGTGGTGTTGTTGTTGTGGTGGTGGAGTTAGCGTTGGTGTGAAGTTGTGGTTGTGGTGGTGGTTGTTGTTGTGGTGGTGGTTGTGGTGGTGGTTGTTGCAGTTGGAGTAAGAGGAGTAAGCGCCGTGACGCCTCGAGTGAGTTAAGTTTTGTTTGATCGTTAGTGGTGAGGGTGGTGAGGGTGAGGTAAGTTAGTCGGGGGTGGTGAGGGTGGTGATGATGGTGAGGGTGAGGTAAGTTAGTCGGGAGTGGTGAGGGTGGTGAGGGTGAGGTAAGTTAGTCGGGAGTGGTGAGGGTGGTGAGGGTGGTGAGGGTGGTGATGGTGAGGTAAGTTAGTCGGGAGTGGTGAGGGTGGTGAGGGTGAGGTAAGTTAGTCGGGAGTGGTGATGGTGGTGAGGGTGAGGTAAGTTAGTCGGGAGTGGTGAGGGTGGTGAGGTAAGTTAGTCGGGAGTGGTGATGGTGGTGAGGGTGAGGTAAGTTAGTCGGGAGTGGTGATGGTGGTGAGGGTGAGGTAAGTTAGTCGGAGGTGATGGTGGTGATAGTGGTGAGGGTGGTGATGGTGAGGTAAGTTAGTCGGGAGTGATGTTGGTGAGGGTGGTGATGATGGTGATGGTGGTGATGGTGAGGTAAGTTTATCTGGAGTGATGGTGGTGATGGTGATGATGGTGGTGATGGTGAGGTAAGTTAGTCGGGGGTGGTGATGGTGGTGATGGTGAGGTAAGTTAGTCGGGAGTGATGTTGGTGAGGGTGGTGATGATGGTGATGGTGGTGATGGTGAGGTAAGTTTATCTGGAGTGATGGTGGTGATGGTGATGATGGTGGTGATGGTGAGGTAAGTTAGTCGGGGGTGGTGATGGTGGTGATGGTGAGGTAAGTTAGTCGGGAGTGATGTTGGTGAGGGTGGTGATGATGGTGATGGTGGTGATGGTGAGGTAAGTTTATCTGGAGTGATGGTGGTGATGGTGATGATGGTGGTGATGGTGAGGTAAGTTAGTCGGGGGTGATGATGGTGGTGATGGTGGTGATGGTGAGGTAAGTTAGTCGGGAGTGGTGATGGTGGTGATGGTGATTGTGAGGTAAGTTAGTCGGGGGTGATGATGGTGGTGATGGTGAGGGTGAGGTAAGTTAGTCGGGAGTGATGGTGGTGATGGTAAGGTAAGTTAGTCGGGAGTGGTGGTGGTGAGGTAAGTTAGTTGGGGGTGATGATGATGGTGAGGTAAGTTAGTCGGGGGTGATGATGGTGGTGAGGGTGAGGTAAGTTAGTCGGGGGTGATGATGGTGGTGAGGTAAGTTAGTCGGGGGTGATGATGGTGATGGTGGTGAGGGTGGTGATGGTGAGGTAAGTTAGTCGGGAGTGGTGAGGGAGGTGAGGTAAGTTAGTCGGGGGTGGTGAGGGTGGTGGTGATGGTGATGGTGGTGATGGTGAGGTAAGTTAGTCGGGAGTGGTGAGGGTGGTGAGGGTGAGGTAAGTTAGTTGGGAGTGATGGTGGTGGTGATGGTGAGGGTGAGGTAAGTTAGTCGGGAGTGGTGATGGTGGTGAGGTAAGTTAGTCGGGGGTGATGATGATGGTGGTGATGGTGAGGGTGAGGTAAGTTAGTCGGGGGTGATGATGGTGGTGGTGAGGTAAGTTAGTCGGGGGTGATGGTGGTGAGGTAAGTTAGTCGGGGGTGATGATGATGGTGGTGATGGTGAGGGTGAGGTAAGTTAGTCGGGAGTGGTGATGGTGGTGAGGGTGAGGTAAGTTAGTCTGGAGTGATGTTGGTGATGGTGGTGATGGTGGTGATGGTGGTGAGGGTGAGGTAAGTTAGTCGGGGGTGATGGGGGTGATGGTGGTGATGGTGAGGTAAGTTAGTCGGGAGTGATGGTGGTGATGGTGGTGATGGTGGTGGTAAAGGTGATGGTGGTGAGGTAAGTTAGTCGGGGGTGATGGTGGTGATGGTGGTGATGGTGATGATGGTGATGGTGGTGATGATGGTGATGTAAGTTGGTCGGGAGTGATGGTGGTGATGGTGAGGTAAGTTAGTCGGGGGTGATGGTGGTGATGGTGATGGTGAGGTAAGTTAGTCTGGAGTGATGGTGATGATGGTGGTGATGGTGAGGTAAGTTAGTCGGGAGTGATGGTGGTGATGGTGGTGATGGTGAGGTAAGTTTGTCGGGGGTGACGATGGTGATGGTGAGGGAAAGTTTGTTGGGAGTGATGGTGGTGATGCTGAGGTAAGTTTGTCTGGAGTGATGGTGGTGAGGGTGGTGATGGTGGTGGTTGTCATGGAATTTGGTGTTCGTGGTGGTTGTACTGGCTGTTGTGGAAGTGATGATGGTTGTGGAAGTGATGGTGGTTGTAGTGGTAGTGATTGTGGTGGTTGTTGTGGTAGTGATGTCTTGGTGATGGTGGTAGTGGTTGTAATAGTGGTGGTAGTGCTAGTGCTGGTTGTTGTGGTGGTGATAATGAATGTGGTGGTTGTGGTGGTGATGGTGGTTGTTGTGGTATTGATGGTGGTGGTTGTGATGTCTAGGTGGTGGTGTTGTGGTTGTTGTGGTAGTGGTTGTAGTGATGGTTGTTGTGGTCGTGTTGATGGTTGTGGTGGTAGTTGCTGTGTTGGTGGTTGTTGTGGTAGTGGTTGTTGTAGTGGTGGTGTTGTGGTTGTTGTTGTTGTGTTAGTGGGTGTAATAGGGGTGATAGCGTTAGTGGTGGTTGTTGTTGTGGTGGTGATGGTGGTTGTCATGTCTAGGTGGTGGTGTTGTGGTTGCTGTGGTATTAATGGTTGTGGTGTTGTGATTGTTGTGGTTGTAGTTGTGGTGGTCATGATGGTTGTTGTGGTCGTGTTGATGGTGGTTGTGATGTCTTGGTGATGGTGTTGTGGTTGCTGTGGTATTGATGGTAGTGGTGTTGTGATTGTTGTGGTTGTAGTTGTGGTGGTCATGATGGTTGTTGTGGTCGCGTTGATGGTGGTTGTGATGTCTTGGTGGTGGTGTTGTGGTTGCTGTGGTATTGATGGTAGTGGTGTTGTGATTGTTGTGGTTGTAGTTGTGGTGGTCATGATGATTGTTGTGGTCGTGTTGATGGTTGTTGGTGGTGGTGGTAGTAGTTGCTGCATTGGTGGTCCATCTGCCAGTCATCTCATTCTACCAACTCTTGATGGAGGATCGCGATCAAAGAGAGTTTGGGAGGTGATGTTCCCAATGACAGTTCTGGTATTGGTAGTGGTGGGTCCTGGGCCGCTGCTGGGTCGACTCAGCCTCAAATGAGTACCCGGTGTGTAGTAGTGAACATCGCCGCCACTGGGGGAGACAAAGGCGGCCGGGCGTGGGGGCGCTCGCCACCCCCCCCACCACCACCTCGTGTGACGGTGTGCCGGCCTTCGCAGGCGCTGGTACTCGCTACGAACAGCACTTGCCCCAACAGTCTTGTCAAGGCTACACGGGGGAACTTTGTCTTCTTCTGTAGAGTGTGAGTGTGTTCTGAGCGTCATTGCCACTGGGGGAGACAAAGGCGGCCGGGCGTGGGGGCGCTCGCCACCCCCCCACCACCACCACCTCGTGTGACGGTGTGCCGGCCTTCGTAGGCGCTGCTACTCGCTACTAACAGCACTTGCCCCAACAGTCTGTTAAGAGGCTACACGGGGGAACTTTGTCTTGTTCTGTAGAGAGAGTGTGAGTGTGTTCTGAGCGTCATTGCCACTGGGGGAGACAAAGGCGGCCGGGCGTGGGGGCGCTCGCCATCCACCACCTCGTGTGACGGTGTGCCGGTCTTCGTAGGCGCTGGTACTAGCTACGAACAGCACTTGCCCCAACAGTCTGTTAAGAGGCTACACGGGGGAACTTCGTCTTCTTCTGTAGAGTGTGAGTGTGTTCTGAGCATCATTGCCACTGGGGGAGACAAAGGCGGCCGGGCGTGGGGGCGCTCGCCACCCCCCACCACCACCTCGTGTGACAGTGTGCCGGCCTTCACAGGCGCTGCTACTCGCTACTAACAGCACTTGCCCCAACAGTCTGTTAAGAGGCTACACGGGGGAACTTTGTCTTCTTCTGTAGAGTGTGAGTGTGTTTTGAGCATCATTGCCACTGGGGGAGACAAAGGCGGCCGGGCGTGGGGGCGCTCGCCACCCCCCCACCACCACCACCTCGTGTGACGGTGGTGCCGGCCTTCACAGGCGCTGCTACTCGCTACTAACAGCACTTGCCCCAACAGCCTGTTAAGAGGCTACACGGGGGAACTTCGTCTTGTTGTGTCGACAGAGAGAGTGAGAGAGTGAGTGAGCGTGAGTAGTGAAACGTCGTCCCCTACACCACCAGCGGTGTTGTTAGTTAGACCGGTGGCCGACGATCGGCTCAACAGTAGGACGGCAATTGCAAGCGAACAATCGCTCTGATAGTCGTAACCGATAATGATTTTGTTACGTATTGGTTTTTTTTTGAGGGCTGATTGGCCTACACCAGAGAGATGGCAGCAGCTGCCTTTATGGCCTCGTCCTCTAACACAGCCACGGCAGTGCTAGACCAGAGAACGGCGGAGAAAAGAAGGGGCGACAGTACGACAACAATTTAAACAAACAATGGCTCTGATAACAATGGCTAATAATAATAATAATAATCTTGATTTGTGAAGCTTTCGCGACCTCAGGAAATCCATACTCTTTGGTTCATTGGGGCAAAGGCACGTGCGGTAGGAAAATAAATAAATCGCGACGTTTCGGGTGCAACCCCCACCTGACGGCGGACGCTTGGTGCCGGGCCCGAAACGTCGTGATTTATTTTACACACACACACGCACGCACGTACGTGTGACTTTACCGAAAGAACCAAGTGAGTTTGACAATGTTCATAATGATGTTACGTGTTAAATTTCGCTTTGAAGCTTTCGTCACCGCAAGGATTCGTCTTCTTTGGTTCTTTCGGTAAAGTCACCACCACTGTAGAATGAGAATAATGAAATAATAAATTAATAAAAT